AATAGATTTTTATAGAGTTCTTAAATTCCGAAAAACAAATGTTGTGCATTCGTGATTTATTTCTTCATGATATTTAACAAATAATAATGAGTCTTAACATAAATATTGTAAAGATTTAATATTTTCCTAATGCTAAAAACATTTAAATGCGTTGTGCATTTTCATAATCTGCCATATTGATTATACAAAATGGAGGAACAAACAGCATTCGAGTATTTGAAACTCCAAACTATTATTATATCAATAATTTCAGATAAAAAAGATAGGAGAATCTTTTAAATATCCAAAATATGTGTAAGTTATCACATTGATTAATCTTTGTAGAGAGAACAGTTTTAGATCCTTTTAGTCAAACGTAAGATAGAAAGTAAAATCAAAATTATCAAAGAATCGTCTGGCAAATATCCATATATTTATTTTCATTTAAGTGTACAAGGGTTTTCACGTGAAGCAACAAGACTGTTCGTCTTTGTGGAGTCCGCAGAACTAGTTAGGTTGCTATGCATTGTCATAAATGCATTTCTTGGCCGCCAGCGTCATGAATCTGTTCGGCAAACAGAAGTACATCGTTGCCAATTTCCACATATAACGATAAACTAACTCGAAAAAAAACCCTGGCGATGTCTATCGCGTAGAAGCGGTAGAAATAAGCAGATCCTTTCACCTTCCGTATTGCGTATTTGAATTTTATAAAAAAATTATAAATGTGTTATATAATTTAAACATAAATAATGTCTACCCAGTCGGAAATTGGTAAACAACGACAAACACATCTCTGCCATAAGAATACGCGTTATCAATCACCCATAAAAAATGAGATACGTCACGAATAATCGAAAGTCGTCCGCCTCTCGCTTCGAGATTTTTTTCGAAATCACAGAAACGCGATCGCGATACCGCCCGGATACCGATGCAATTCGTCAAGCGTTTCCGCGTCCGCGATGGATAAACGCGCGCCGTATGTATTTTAGTGAGAATTAATGTCACTCGCTTGGCGTGCCTTCGATAGGCATTAAATATGCGGGGTGAATGTTAAAGGCGAGTAAATATCGCGGTCATTCATGTACGGAGCCGTATCGAGCGCGCGCGTAGCGAATATCTGCCGGCGTACAACGGCACGTGCAATAATAATAGAACCGTCGCGTCGCCGGTGCATTCACACGCGGAGGATGCCCGCCCGTTACTATCTTGCGGCACTCGTCTCGAGCACACGACTTTTACCGTCTAGACTTACGTATCTCCTTCGATTATTGCGAGATTAGATTGTTGCGGGTTTTAAATTTGGGCGAGCCTCGAGTTCGTCTCTCGAGTTCTCGCGAGCGAAACCGCCGAGTTAACCGCCGGTCACGAATCGAGCGAAAATTGGAGATACAACTCGATACAGCTCGGAGAAACCGCTGAAAATACGCTTCCCGAGACTTCCTTGAAGGCTCGAATCATCTCACGAGTGTTACGGACGTTTTTAAACAGCGCGAGGATAGTTAACAAAAACATAAATTTCCATTCGCATAATGTCCTTGGCTAGACTTTTGTGGCTTTTTTTGTAAACTTCAGTAAAATGATTGTGTAATAAAATAATGTGAAAAAAAGTGATAATAAAGAATGTTTTCTTATACAATTGCCAAGTGATATTTACACGACTTTTTTAAATTTAATAAACAGAAATTATATATTCTATTTGGGTATTGGTGTCACGCAAACGAATATATGAGAAATAATAAAATTTTCTTTTAAAGACCAAACTGTTCCCTCTTTATGAGCAAAATTAAATGTATCTGTTAATACACACTGTGGATTATGCCTGTCACTCATAATCCTTAGCCACGCCGTGTACGTCATGTGTAATCCCAGGATTTATGATTTGCAAACCATGTTTTCCAAGTTAAATTAATAAAGATGATTAAAGCATTACGTTAAAAAAAAAAAAAAAGACAGTGCATAAAAATTAATGCAAAAAAAGTTTTTACGTTAAAAAGTATGTCTCGTGTGTTGTATAAAAAAAACAAAAGTCATTTTCTGACTTGATTAAATTCATTCATACAAAAGCATTGCAGAAATAATTCTCTCTTCGCTAATACCTCTTCGCGTAGAATAAAATCTAACATGTCAAAAATGACGTGAATGAGAAAGAATAAAAGCCGATGAATAAAATCTAAATCTACGTCAATAACATATGAATAAAGAGGATAGTAAATACGACATTTCCCCCCCACCGCGCTTTCGGGACGAGTGTAGAATTTTTTAGACTGTCAGTTTCATGTTGATACCGTTAGAAAATCGTAAGTAGGTAACTACGTCCACGTTTAGATCGATCGATCTTCCAGGCACCCATACAGGTTGCACACACACACACCTTTCAAAAGCAAAATCGCCACGCTTGTTTGACGTTTATGAAGTTACGGTATTAAAGAACGAGTGCGAATGAGGCAAGCTAAAAAGTAGCTAAAAGGATCGACTGAAAAAGTATCGATCGAACTTCGCTAGAGAATTTTCTTCCATTAATCACTTAAAGAATCTCATTAAAAAATTTCATATCGTAAATCTTTTATGTGAGGGAGGGTAACGGAAAAAAAAAGACAAAATTGAAAAAGATATTGTAGCAAAATAATTTCCTAACGGTGAATTCAACAGATAGTTTTCATAATTTTGATAATTACTCATCGAATATATTTTTAATTATTTTATATAACAACTGTTATACATATGTATGTCTAAACAATTCTTTACTGGAAAATTGTGGAAAATATATCAAAATATATCTAGTAAGATATGTTAAACAATGGATATAGGTAATGTAATTAACAATACATATGGCTTTTGATACGGGTGTCAAAAGCCGTAGCGTTGTATCCGAGAGTGAACGTCAGTTTCGAAACAGTTAGTTAGGAATCTGAGATATTCTAAAGTGATGTTTCTATGCGTTATACTAGTTTCTAGTTATGCTAGTTCCTACTATCGTTTTCGAACGTGCCATCAGAATCCCAGGTGGCAGGAAACGCACGGCACGTCACTCTTGATAACAACTGATTACGGTGAGCTCATCGTGATAATGAAACTAGTTTGACGGAACGTACATTGATATTGTATCGATATCGCGCATGCCATTGAACTTTTTTTCTTGCTTATCAAACGTACGTACACTCGATTGTAAACTCAATACTTATTATTTTCTTTCCACAATAACCATGAGACTCGTTATACAAAAGCTGTTAAATAAATTTTTCATTTTTCGCCATCCTTTACATCGATCAGAGAGTCTTTGCACAGCAAGAAGACTTGAGAAAAGAGTTCTTGCTTCAATAAGTCAAGGCAGTAAGACCAAGGAATTAACCTTGTGTTCTGAAAATATTATCCTTCACGAGGGTCTTTCAGCCCTTAAAGGAATATCTACAACATAGTTGCTGTTAGAAGGGATTACGTCGCATATTAATGTAATGTTTGCATTATGAAAGAATCCAAATTTCTTAAATTAAAGAATTAATCATTGCCAAATTGTCGTTATTTTAATACATGAAATTAGTAAAAAATTTTAGTACATAACATTAATAAAGAAAGAAAAGGGAATAGAAACGTAAATTAAGCCAAGATTGTCGTGGAAAAGCGAGAATGATCTCTAATATTTTTAATGCTTGAGATCTTTAAGCATTATATAAGTTTTAAATTTTTTTCAGCAAGGATTAAGCAAGGAATAATCAGAAAAGATAATCTTATTTACATATATAAATATACATATATAAATTCTATATGCAATGTATAATATTAAAATAAATATGTAGATATTTCTAAAGTAAAATTATTTTGTAGTGTAGAATTTGATAAATGCTTATTAGAGATTTAGCTTATTTCTAAATCGATTTGTTCCTGAGAAATTGAAAATATGACAATTTATTTCCCATATCTATTGCCCATATTTATTTCCCATATCTATTGCCTCGGAAATTAAATTTATTACAGAAGCGATAAGATATCGAATTTACACGCAAGGCTCTTTTAAAGCACGAATATGACTTCGATTTTTCCAACAAACATTATCTTTCAAAAATATACTCGTCCTTGAGAGATAAAAACACCATCGAAATTATGTAAAATTCGTGAAATAGCGTGACGCGTGTGCTTTAAAGTATATTTATGACTATTGAATTCCAAATTTTCAAATTTATGTATTTATGTTACCAAAGATTAACGATATATAAATATTTAAAGCAACTTAAAAGTCATTATAAAATATTTGAGATTAGATGCCACAGGATATAATGCTTGCCAAATTTTTAAAATAGATCTCAAATTACAGACAGAAGCAGAAAAGACGATATAATTGAAAAATAAATGTTTATTATTAAATATTAAATAAATCGTTAAAAAACTGATTTAAATTACATTTATTTATTATAAACGTACTAAAATTTCTCCGTGTATATCAGCATATATATTTGCCATCTTATATAGTTTTTCACTTGGGACATTTAACGTTAATTCAAACTTTTCCAGAAATATGCCCCGAGCAGAATGAGCATTGGAGACGGCGTCGCAATGAGGTCTCGATTAATAAAACTTAATTGCTCCCTCGGATCGATCAAACTCGCACGAATGTGTCATGCTGCAAAGCAATTTTCGCACTCGACAATCCAATAGAGTATTCCCGCCAAAAGTTCCAGCCACCGTCGACGCGGAGGAACGTGCCCGTGTCGCGATTCTCGCCTCGGATCCTCCGCCTCGGCATACGTTCACCGCACGTGCGAGCGGACAACGCGCGAGATTCCTCCCTCGCGGGTGGCGGGCCGCGAGTTGCCACGGTATGCGCTAAAAATAGCGGCGACCATAAAGCCGCCACGCGGACGGGCGAAATCAACGAACGCGACGGCGACGTCGCGACGTCGTTGGCGAATACGCACACGCTTTCGTCGTTCTCCCAACCGATTCTTTATACGTCGTTCTTCCCGCGGCTCTCCAATTACCAGGGGATGAAAATGCTCCAGATTGTTTAATAACGCGCAGAGAAAAAGAAGAGAGAGAGAGAGGGGGGGGGGGAGGAGAAAGAAAGAGAGATATGAGGAAATACTCACGGGATGCGTGTTTCGTATGAGAACAGAAGGCCCGTCGCCGATGAGGATGATCATTTCGGCACGCCGCGCTTCCCGGTGCGTGGTGTCTGTCGCGTCGGCGCGTCTCTCCCGGGCGTTTCTCCAACTAGCAACTCGTTCACCAATAGCAGTGGTAGCGGCGACAACGGCACCCTCCTCCGCGCAACGGTATCGCGACGCTCATGATCGACGATGACAACGGCGACAACGAAGACGATGGTGACGATGACTACGACGACAACGACGACGGTCTAGTCCACGGCGGTGGCGACGGTGACGGCGACGACGGTCCCGTCCGATTACGCTTCCTCGTGCACGTCAACCACCGTCTCTCCGTTCGGCGAATCGAGACGTGCGTACGTGCGTACGTGCGTGCGTGCGTGCGTGCGTGCGTGCGTGCGTGGGTGCGTAGAGATATACGTGCGTGCCTGCGTGCGATGCGCGATCACTCTCACGCAGGGAATCGCGCGATCACGCGTGCCCGCGGCGGCCGCGGTCGATCCTCGGAATCCATGACAGGTATACGTGCGACACGTATACGTTGTACGTGCACGGTACGGAGCGGTGCGAGGCGAGCGTGGACCGCATGCGCCGCTCCGAGGCAAAAGTCATCGCGCTCTGTGCCGTCGTGAACGCGCCGGGGCGGACGTAGACGGGAAAACTCGCGCCCCGATGGAAATCCGCCGCCACAAGCGGGTTTCCGCGGGACATTCGCAAGGCGATGTGTGCCGCGGACTTGAAAACAAAAAAATATCCTCGAGCAAAATGTTAGCGGAATGTCGGCGACGGATCTGATTCGAAAATCTTAGCGGACTCACCTCATCCGAGATCGCATTCTGCTCACGTCCTGTTAGGAGAACCTGTTGACATTCTGTGCCAATCTGCCGTCAGGCTCTGCTCAGTTTCTGCCATCAATCTGTTGGCACAGCATGTTAGCAAGCTTTGTAATACCTCTGACAGTTTGTCATCAAATATTACAGACATCGTGTTTGAAATTTGCTGCTTTTCTATGCCATCAAAGGTTAACAGCAGCATACTCTGCTTGGCTATCGGAGATCGGTAACGTTTTATATATCACGATGTCTATTATGAATGTGACAGATGTCAGCGAGTATCATTTGGATTTAGGACGATGAATTGTGCCGCTAAAAAATATGATGCGTCGTCGAATGATGTTCGCAATTATTTAGATGAAGAATTCATGTTCAAGCCGCGCAAAAAGAAGCGTATCTCACAAGAATAGAATTATCATCATCCGACTCATTACTGATTCATTTTCCTTCGATTTTTCATACCTTTTATTATAAAATTGGTGTTCTCGAAGTTTTTTTAAGCCTTTAATCTTTTAATTTTTTGAGCGCGCTGCGGTTAGAAATTCGAAATGTCCGACATGTTGGAACTAGAAATCGCGCGTATCGATATATCGTTCGATTTCGATTGGCAAGTGATAGCACGCAAAGTGATATCTCGCTTTATTACTGAGCGAAGATCTTATCGGCAGCTTTTTCTTGTTTTTTTCTTCTTTCAATTTTATGAACAATTACATATCTTTTTACTTATCTTGAAAGAATGATTTTATGAATCAAAAGTCCTCATGTATAATCGTTACATCGATCAAAAGTAAATTTTTCAAAGTCGAAAGATTTATCTATCGCCTTTTTAGTTTAAATAGTCCTTACCTCTATTTGAAGTCTCCTTTGTGTCATCTTTCTTCTTCATGTTATTAACTTTAAAATATAATATAGAGCGCAGTTGTAAAAAGTTGCAAAATTTTTGATCAATCAATGCAAAATTTAATTTTGTGCGCTCAAATTAAAATATATTTTGTCACATTTGTGCTTGTCGCCTTTGTGTCCGAACTAATTTTATAACGCACAAAAACTCAGAGTAATGATGAAGAAGAGCGGGGTGATTAAATTTAATACACAATTTATATTACACATATGTTTTATTACGCATATGAGCGTTCTTTTAGAGAGACAAAATCAATCACGCTCGTACAATCGATCAATGCTTTTTTCTACTTTTATTCTCATACATGGATAACAGATTAATAGCATTCTACATTTCATTGAGCGCATCGGATGACCCACAGATTTGTTCAGTTTCGCTCAAACTTGGATACCAAAGAGGCCGTAACTCCATATATCATCAAACCCGCAAAAACCGAGTAATTAAAATTCGCGTATATATAGCAATACATTATATATAATACAGAAATTCATGATGCGGTGCAAAAAAAATATTCATTACACAATAACAATCCTACAAATACATTTGTGATTAAATTAATTCGAAAAATAAATTTAGAGTATTTATTATTAATTAGCTTCGGAATCATATAATACTAACAACTTTTAATGATTTCGTCGGCATTAAAATGGAACAAAAAAAAAAAATCTCATCCGATGATTCAAGTAAAAGTATATAAGAAATTCATGATTGTACTTATTATAATTTTCAGCAATAAACTTTCGATTTAAAAAAATTCATAAAATCTCAATATACTTTATACAATCCAATTTATACGGCATGATATTGTCGTTATTAAAAATCAATATTAAAAATATGGACGACATGAAAAATTGGCACGAAAGAAATAATCTGTCCAATATTAATTATTACGATAATTATCGCTTGATAATTCTTCTATAAGTTTCTTCCATAAGTTACATTTTTATTTCTACCTTTGCAAACCTTTTTCTAACACACATAGTAACATCGTCAAATAAGACCAATTTAAACGAATATCACTTTTACAGTATACTATGTAACAAAAAAAAAATTCTTGCAATTATACATAAATTTTGTGCTGACAACGGAATTTTTCTCCGATACATTGTCCATACTTCTGTAACTATATATCGTGCATGATTCGGAATTATCCGAATAATTTCAGATCGTTGCTTCAAGGATATGCGCTACAATGAAACTTATATCGAGTCCAATATCGACATTTATAGTCGTGATTTTCATATTGAGATTAATTCTTTACAATTATTTACGTCTCGACACCGAGATTCGGGATCATTAACACCGCGTCTCATACAAGCCGCTGCGTCCTATATAACGGACCCATTTAATCACATCGTGATCGGAGTAATTTAGTTTGGACTCGAAAACTTTCAAATAGCGCACTTTGAAACCGGACGGCGCGAACGGCACCTCGAAGTTCATCGATATCGGCGGCCTCGTCCACTTCTTTTTCGTGTCCGTCTCTAACAGATCGATTTCGGCGGACAGTTGTGTCTCCTTCATGCCGGCCATGCGCTTGATCTTCCATACAATTGCGTTCTCCGATGCTTTGTATTTCGCCTTACCCTTCAAACATATCAGCTGCACGCCGGCAGTATTTAATGGCGTCGGCACACGCACCTCTATTTTCTGCCCCAGCAATGATGGCTTAAAGTTTGATTTCAAAACCGCCTTGACTTCCATTTTCGTTCGGCCTACTTCACGCACTAACGGTATTACGCGGAAAGGCAATGATATATCCTTTGTGGTACGGTATCTGTAAAGACATTATACATATTTTTCTTACATCTGAAAATCGCGTTTATTTTCTTAATTATGTCTCACCTCATCAGCTCGAATTCACCATCCGGCGGTATAAAACTAATGGAATGTTCGGTCTCAAATTTACTAAGTTTAACGCACTGATGGAATTGGCAATCATCAATAACGACAACCGGCTTGCCGGATCTAGCGCCAGTAGGATCATCGCCTCCACCTCCCAATCCGCCACCCCCTTTCATACCTTTCGCTTCCATAACGATCTTGTCGTTAATCCCAAATTTGCATTCCGGCATACCAGACAAGTAAGATTTCATTACCACCTAAAAAATATTTAATAAACAAATCTGCAAAAACTGTAAAATTTAAATTTAAGAGAATTTACCTTTCCAGCAACATGTGCACTAAGAACCTGACCTTGAGGGCTCATCAATAGATTTACATATTCAAGTACATCTAAAAAGAGTTCATTGCGCCTATATTTGATACCCTCTCGTCTCCATCCAATCTGACCTGTGACTTGCGATGTTATCTGAGCTTGTTCCTCCTTGGTGGCTGATTTCACGCCTTGTTGAGTGATAAATGTCTTCAGTACTCCTGTATCACAGTTCTGTGGATATCCAAAGTCAAGTATTTCTGTAAAAGAAAAAAAATAATTTAATCTTAGAAAAGAAGTCATATGTAAGAAAGTTATTAAAACACAAGATTAATACTTACCATCGAGCAGCTCGTAGATAAGCACGAAATTGTTCTTGATGTTTTCTTCTGAAATCTTGCCGAAATAGGATTGCATAACATCTATGATTTTTAATAGTAATTCAAATACCATAGCTGCATTGACATTTTGTTTGGTTACAGCAGCTAACCAAATGTTAGCGCGTTTTATATGGAAAAATGATGTTCTGGCAATGTTGGTTACAGGCGAGCGCACTTGCTGTCGTGCATGAATGACATTAACTCGAAACGCATCTACTGCATTACGGCCAATATCATCTCGATACACTCGGGAAATGAGCACCTCTCCCTTATGATTATAAACAAATAAACCCCCTATCATCTTGACAGAGGGCAATGTCTAACTTTTTCAGTCAAAATCAATCTGTAACAAAGACCAAATTAAATTATAATTATAATTAATATATTAAAAATGATGAAATATTATAAAGATTTTAGTAATTCCAACAACAAAAAAATGCCAATGCAACAAAACTTCATTTTTAAATTCAGTTTTCCAAAAGTAATCACTTAATAAATTTATAATGTTCAAAGAAACAATACACGAATTTCAGATTTCTAAAACATACTGAAATCAATAAAATATCCCAAAGCATATGTTCCAAAAATAACTCAGCTTTGCAATCGTGTATATTAAATAAAATAATTATAAACAATTTTTAGTATCCTTTCAGTGAAGAAATAGATATACAAGAAGTGTCAGCAAAAAAAGAAAGGAATTCGATGCTCTTTAATTAGACAGATAGGACAGCGTTGAAAAGATGTATGGCTTATGAGGGCATAGCGTCCAGAAAAATTTGTCGACGCATTCACGTCTATAACGAGTAACGACGGACGAAACGCCCCGTTTATCAAGTGACACTTAGATATTTGTCCGTCCGTCCGGTATGTCTTGCGAACGGTTAGTATTATCGATCGTACGTGAGACCCCCGCGTAACCCTTTATGCCCGAATCACCGCCACGTCCTCCGGCTATCGCCGAGGAACGAAATCTGACTTACGCATGGCTCTCTCGAAAGTGATCCACTAGGAGTTTTTCTCCTTCGTTGGCGATTCCGCTTTTTCGTTAGTCGTGACACAGTACTCTCGCCGCTCAACGCGAGCCGACGGATAGGTGACGGAAGCAACACCCACTTTCCGATATCGCCAACGAAAAATGCCACACGAACGACGTGGATGGAAAGGAGATCCTAGATCGCGCGAGAGAGATGGTAAATACGAGCGCCATCTAGAACCACACGCATTTTTGAAGTCGTACAGCAAAACCGAAATTGCCGTCGCTATCGGTAAAACATTTCGTTCTAGGCGCGCCAAAAAATAATTCTTTGTCTTTTAGAGAAATATGGATTTCTAACATCTTCTTAAATCATCTTGGAAAATGCACAGTATAGCGCTCTCCGATTTTCCTATAATTTTCTAAATTTGTGTATTTTCACGTATAGAATATATTCTAAGAAGAAAAATCGTCGCTAAAAAACCCATTTTTTCTTTTTTATTTCAAAGATTTTTTTGATATTTGAACTTTAATTCACGTAAAAAAATAAAAAAGGTATAAATTTTTAATCACAAAATATTCTCTGCTATAATTTAAATTATATAACAATAACATAATGTAACAATATATAATATTATATAACAATAACAATAACATAATTTGTGTTTTTAATTAATTAAAACAAAGAATGTATGATAAGTATGCAGCCATAAATTATTGAATTAATAATTATGCACATTTACACCATTTGTACATTAACGTTTGACATATTTGATGATTAAATAAATTACTATTATCTATTATATAATTTACTATTACTATTATCTTATATACATATATTCCTATCATTGAAGTACGTGATTGAAATGAATACAAGATGATATTGCAATTCTGAGCTCCATATGTATTCGTAACATTTGCAAACATTCGTAACATTTGCAACATCATCGTGCAAATGAATTATGACATATTTCAAAACACTTCAGTGATAACAGATGTATATAAGATAAAAATGTAATATTACTTTATATAAGACAATAGCAAATTTACCTGATCAGATATGTCAAATATTATTGTAAAATGATGTACATGTGTATAATTATTTGTTCAAAATCAATAGATTTGTAAAGTAAAAATTATATTAATATTTATGTTAAAAAAAGTTTTTATAAATTAATTTTTTAAAAAGGTTTAATAAACCTGCTTTTTAATATTTTGTGAATGTCTTAACAATATCAAATAAACGTAATAGTTTCATCATGTCGATTAAAAATAGTTAAATATAAATTCGATGCAAATAGAAACAAAATGCAATACATAAAATTATTAAGTTATATAAAGTTTGTACTCAGCAAACACAAAATGTGATTGCTATAAATGCAATAAATGTAATAATTTTATACGTAATAACATACATATGATAACATATATACATATATGCAATACATAAAATTAATTTTTTTTTATATATTGTTTATATACATATATTTTATTTACTAAAAACTTGATTATTTAGATTATAAGACATAAAAGATTTATCAAAATTTATTATTTTTAATTTATCAAGCTTATAAATAGGAAATATAAATAAATATCTTAATTCTTATTATATTTTTTTCGCACATCAACAAAATTTTAATTATTGTGTTAAAAAAATATATACATTAAATATCATATAAGTTTATGAAATAAAAAGTAGTAGTGTAATAAAATTTTATTAAATCTTGAAACACAAATATAATATAGTAATAAAGAAAAAAAACCCATTTTTAATCATGCATTATTTGTAAAATTAAAGATAGAGAAAACACATCTTTATAAATACGACAAGCAAAAGATAAAGATAACACATCTTTATAAATACATGCGACAAGCAACAACCATAAAGTAATGGCAATCTTTGATCAACAGTCATAAATGCAATCGCTCTTCACTTGTGTATAAAATGTATAAAGTGTATTGTGTATAAAGTGTATAAAGTGTTCATAAGAAAAGATAAAAGTAGTACAAAACATTTTTATCTTTCAGATACGATTTTTTTCTTTATTGCAATTGTTGTCAAATTTTATTCAAGTTCGAGAACTTTTTTTTATTACATATAGGACATCTTGATATTTCAACACAAGGTATTGTGCATTTTATATAAATTTAAACCTTTTTTACACGTAAAAAATATTCTATTATACCTTTATCGATATCTCTATCATTGTTTATAAGGACTTATATTATTTGGAAATTATATATATAATGGTTTCCTAATAGTTATTTTTTATAATAGATTTTGTTTATTAAATATTATAAACATTAAAATTTTTTCTTTTTATACAATTATTAAAAAAAAATTTAATTCTGACTTTAAATCACTACGTTATAAGTTTGTTAAAAAGAACGGCATGTGGGGTTCACGACATGAACATTTATTTGAAATATATAAATTTATATATATTTATATATATGTATATACACACACGCACAATATATAAAATGAAAGAATATTATAAGTGCCTCAAATTCTACCTGTCAAGTATTGCTATTATTTACAATATTCATATTTATATTATATATAATTTTTAAATAAAATAAGTAATAATATTAAATCTTTTTAAATCGTTTTAAATAAAAAATATTAAAATTAAAATTGTTCTAAGTGTTCCAGTTTTTTACGTATCAAGAGAAGAATATCTTCTGTTATAAGATTGCATATCAAGAGGAGAAAATATTTTGACGTAAGATTGTACATAGAGTAAGTTTTTCTTATGTTATATTAGTACTCAAATATGATTCAATAGAATAAGTTTAAATGGAAATACTCTATTACATATATTTTCTGAGTGTTACTGATTGCTAAAGTAAAAAATTAACAGCAAACAAGCTGTCATCACTGTCAATGTCACTTTGATTTCCTTCGCTTTACTTTGATTTTGATTTTGATTTTTATTATTTTTTTATCACATTGATAGTTGGATATATTATTTGCTCATTCTGATTATAACACGCTCTACTTATCATTGTAAATTGACATTATTGGATTATTTTCTGGAACGTACAATTACTATTTGATTGATTTTTAGCAAGATGATGAAGAATAATTCGAAGGTAAGTGCAAAAGTTTCCAAAAATTATTCCTTATAGACCATTTTATATGATAAAGAATAAGCTACAAATATGTGATTGATTATAAAGATCAAATATATAAAACGCAAAACTTTATAATAAACATTATAAACATGGTATAATGGTTATCTGACATTTACAGGATTTTACGGTCGAAAATGGTATTTATAAAGGTCCAATAAATCCCGATATAAACTACAAAAGTCTTGGAGAAATGATATGGTTTAACATTAAAAAGAATGGAGATAAAATTGCACATGTAAGTTGACGTTTTTACATGCGATATTAATACATAAAAGCTTCTAGAATGAAAACATGATTATTTAAAGCTTCCTATATAAGTTAAATGCAAAATGATTTTCCTTCAGATTCTGATAATTATGTACAAAAAATTTTTTATTACTATAATAATTATTTATATGGTAAATTTAAAATAATACTAGATAACAGTAACAGATAGTAAAAAAGTTTGCTAGAATTACAAAATTTAAAAATAATTATGATAAAAAGAAAATTATGATGTTAACATAATTGCAAAATTAATTTGAATAGCTATAATTTATATTACTTGGTTTTACGTTGTCAAATAAACATAATAAATCTTTCTTTTTAAATTTTATTGTGGACAATAATCGCTAAGTAAATATTATAAATATTTTAAGACTATTATTTAGACAACATTATATGATATAAATTAAAGAACATTAATTTGAAACCATATCAAATATTAAATAAGAATCTAATTAATAAAAAATTGTAGTAATCTAAAGTTAATATTTTATTTAAAATTGTCTTTTTATATTTAATAAGTCTAAGTAATTTGATATCAATTTTTGTTTAATATTAGTAATAAATAAATATTTTCTAATTATAATTATATATAAGTATATAATTTTATTATATACTTATAACATAATTATAACATTAATTATAATATAATTTTTAATTATAATGTTTATTTATCCGCGATGATAATAGTGCTATAAAATAAATAATTATTTGTAATTTTAAAATGCTTAATAATAAAAATATTGCGCAGTTGGATGCATGCACAGAAGAAACAACTACGTATACGCAACTTCAGGATAAAGTTATTCGATGTGCGTTGTGGCTGCAGAAATATGGAATTAAATCTGGTGATATTATCAGTCTATGCACGGGTAATCATATGAATTCTATCGTGCCCTGTTTATCGGCGGCATATATAAATGCAATTTTTAATACGTGGTACGAAGATATGGACTTGAGTAGGTTTATCTGCGATAATTATTATCATTTCTCCTTGCGTCACATTCGATTAGATTGATAAATTAAAAATAATATATTTCTGATATGAATATTTATTTCTTTATTAATAACAAGATTATTGCCAACAGGAAGTGCACTATACTATTTGAATCTGATTATGCCGAAAATAATTTTCTGTAGCGAGAAATCCGTACATGTCATCTTAAGCGCAGTAAAGGAGAAAAATTGCAATTCTACAGTAGTAGTTTTTGGCAAACATATTAACGCCATTTCATTCTCCGATATCTTGAAGACTGGCAGTGATGCAGAAGTGGCAAATTTTCATTATGAAGACCTTGACGATATTAGAAGGACGGCATGTATCGTACACTCCTCTGGCACCACAGGTTTGCCGAAAGGCATCGAAATATCCAATTATAATGTGATACTCACTAGCGAAAGATCAATATTGGACATGATTGATTCACCAGTATTATGGTTCTCTTGTCTTTGTTGGGTTACTGGCATAATGATGAACATGTTTTCGATTATACAGAGCTCTAAAGTAATTCTTTATCCGGAATTCGACGAGGAGATAATTTGTCAATTGATTGAAAAGTACAAAGTAATATTATTTAATTTTTAATTTCTTGTCTTATTTAAAAAAAAAACTTTATTATCAATAACTATTATAACTGACAATTTTTAATTCTTATAATGTAGAAAGGAATAATGATTGAATTGACTGTTTGTATAGATATCTTGTTAGATTTTGTTTTACAAATAATCGTAATAATTTGACTCTTTCATAATTTATATCTTAACATTTTGCAATTATAATAAAAAAATAAAATACCAAATAGGAATAAAATAAAATACAATTAAAAATAATATTATATTTAGGTATCATAATAATATCTACTTCGATAAATGCTGTTAAACATTGATAAAGTTATATTTTTGAAATTTTTTATGGGAATCACGTTCAAAATTGTATTGTTATTGCATTTCTCTCTGATAAATTAAACTAAAATGAAATGATAGCGTTAACATTATTTATAACACAATGATTGCAAAACACAATACAATTTTGTACTTCGAAAAAAGTTATTGTTATTTTTATCATTATTATGAATTATATAATTGTAGTCTTATATATAAATTTAATTGATTATCCTATGTGGATATAATGCATTGGAATATAAAATAAATTTCTTTTTGATTTAGATAACAACTCTTTTTCTTAGCACAAGCATAACTAATCGACTTGTCAAAGCAGGTCATATAAAGAAATATTCATTATCATCTTTGAAAAACATAATGTTTGGTGGTGCAATGCTTAAACCGAAAATACAAGAAGAATTTAGGAATATTTTACCACATGTTGCTATATATCACGGTTATGGTAATAATATTGAACATTTACACATATACACATCATACACACATTACGTACGTGCACGTGATGTAGAATTTCGAACTTATATGTATGTTTCTAGGAATGACAGAACTCAGTGGTCTCGCTGCATGTCAAAAAAAGCATCACAAAAATGGATCATGCGGAACAGTATTCGATAATGTGCAAATGAAGATCGTAGATCCAGAAAGTGGGAAAACACTTGGCCCGAATCAATCTGGAGAAATATATTTAAAATCTGCAACTTTTATGATTAGTTATTACAAAAATCCTGAGGCAACGAAAAATTCGATAGATAGTGAAGGTATAGAGATATTCTGTCTATAATAATAATATAATTATATTGAAAAATTTAATTATAAGAATTGATTAGCATCTAAACTAAATAAATTGTATTCCGTTAAATTAAAAAAAAGTTGTTGTGCAATATCATAAAATTCTTTATAAAAGAAGACTTGGAATTTTTTCAGGATGGTTCCGCTCGGGTGATTTCGGTTATGTAGATGAAGACGGGGAATTATTCATTATTGGTAGATTAAAAGAGCTCATAAAATATAAAGGATACCAAGTCTCCCCTGGAGAAATTGAGAATGTCCTAATGTCGCATCCAGCAGTGCTAGAGTCTGCGGTAATAGGAATTCCTCATGAATTAGATGACGAACATCCTCTTGCATTTATCGTTAAGAAGCCTGGTGCCATGGTATTACTTTTTATTCAAAAATTACATTTACAAAGATAAAGATGCAACATAAAAATTAAATCGTATGATAAGGTAGAATTAAAATTATCAAAATATAACGCGATTTGCATGTTAATTCGAGTAAGATTAAAATACGTCAAATATTTGAGTCAGTTTAAAGTAAATAATTCAATATAAAAATGGAAGAGAGTAGAAAAAAATAAGACGAAAGTATAGATATTGTTTTAACCAGCACTTTGAACTATAACTTTACGTGAAAAATCATAATTTGTCATAAAATCGATAGTAATAAAATTGAAAACTTTTTTTATACTATTTTTATAAAATATTTATCAATATATTATTATCTAAATGTATAAATATTTTAAGCATAAAATTAAAATTCATTATCTCTTAAATACATAAACTTCTAAATAGTAGGATATTGTATTAAATTGAGTAGTAAATTGAACAGTAAATTGAATTAGTATGTTGATAAAATATTATTATATTTATATATTATTATTTAATATAAAATAAACAATATTTTTTATGTACTAGATACCTTTCTTTCTGAAATAATTTAATTTTACTTGTGTAGGTGACTGAACAGGAATTAATAAATTTTGTGGCGAACAATATGACGGATCTCTACAAACTTCGTGCAGGAGTGATATTTGTAGACAATTTTCCTTATTTAGGTACGGGAAAAGTTTCGAAGAAAGATTTAAAAATAATGGCTAAACAAATGTTAAACTATACTGATTAATTATATTTTGTCTGCAATACAAGATTTATATATATATATGTATGTATATATATATTACATGCATTTACAAGTACTTGATAATTACAATAATTTGTAATTCTTTCATTAGCGAATTATATATATTATATATTATATTAGATATGTGGAAAAGTATATTATACAAGATGTCTTTTATTAGAAGTGGTACGGCTGTGTACATGTAAACTCTTACCAAACTCGCGAACGCGGAGCATTTGCACCTCGCTGAGCGTTTTATCGGCAAGCTGAACAGATACGCGATTATTCTGCGATTTTTTTATTAATGACCCTGTTTAGTAATTTGATAATTTAATAAATAATAATTATTAATTGCGAAAATTGTAAAATGATAGAGGATTTCTCTACACAGTTTGACCCATATCGCGAGCGGATATCATAGTAAATTTTAACAGCTTAGTTTAATATGGTTAAGGGTTTTCTAAAATTAAGAATTAAGAAGATAAGTTTATTATTGCAATTAAAATATATGTTCAAAACTAAATGCCGTGTGTAAGAAACGCATTTTGTAGTGCTCTGATATTAAAGATGAAAAGAAATTTGATTAATATAGAAAGAAAATAATGATATTGCAAAACTGTTAGTTTGTGTAGAACATTTCTACTTTCGCAAAGCTCAACGATATGCCTAGCAAATGATAAACCAATCTTTCTTAGAAAAGACATAACATCAAATAAAATACATAATTGACCCTTTTTCATGGTAGAAATGTTCTACACAAACTAACTGTTTTGCAATATCATTATTTTCTTTCTATATTAATCAAATTTCTTTTCATCTTTAATATCAGAGCACTACAAAATGCGTTTCTTACACACGGCATTATCTTCTTAATTCTTAATTTTAGAAAACCCTTAACCATATTAAACTAAGCTGTTAAAATTTACTATGATATCCGCTCGCGATACCAAATCAGATATTAATATACTTAAACCGAGATAACTACCATACTCGAGATAATTACCATATCGTTCAACTTTGCGAAAGTTAAATGTCGTATCTCTTTGTCAGTAAGAAAGATGTCAAATTCTCGTTCCAGAGTTTGCTTGATTTTTACAAATATTAAAGAGTCCATTCCAAGTTCGGCCAAAGATGCATATGGACTTACAACTTTCATGTCTTTTATATCTACAATAAAAAATAAAAAATTATAATAATTTATATAGCGTAAAATAATTTAACGAAGAATATAATAAAGATATGTAATAAATGAATAAGTTTGTATATGTATATTACCTAATATATTGGCAACATTGTCCACCAAATTGTTAAATTTGGAAGATTTGACTTTCTTTTCAGCTACGAGCATACTGCATACAATTGGGCGGCTCTGAAGTAAAAATTTTTCAAGTTCGTCAAGGCAGCACAATATCTTTTGTTGCAACAAACCCTCCATAATCAATTCTTTATTGTTTTTCTGCATGTTGGCAACGATACCGATATCACCCACAAGACCCCATTGAATTGCCAGTCCCGGTAATCTTTCTTGCACTCTTTTCTCGCATATTCTCTCCATGACGGAATTCGCCATGCCGTAATTAGTCTGTCCAGCGTATCCTCTGCCGCAGGTAGTTGAAGAGAAAACCACGAAGTGTCGCAATTTAAGACAAATTTTTCTAGAAAGTTTGTCCAACATTTGCGTTGCCCGGACTTTTGGTAGGAAAGATTCCGTAAAAGTTTCCGCGGTTTGATTTTTTAGAATGCTGTCTTTTAGTGCCACACCGAGATTAAATATTGCGTCTACTGATGCCTGTCTTTCCACAGTTTTTAAGAGATGTTCGCAATCCTTGTGGTTGTTAACATCGATATTTTTAATGATTTGTACGTTTACCCCGTACGATTTCCATAATCTTATTTTCATGCGCTGGTAACCATTTCTTATTCCAGTTCGCGAAATAAGTACAATGTTTCTGGCGCCTCGAAATACCAGCCAGTCGGCCAACTCCAAACCGAATCCACCTAGACCTCCTAGTATAATGTAACTCTTGTCTCTAACACAATAGTAGCGACGATATGCAACAATGAGCTTATCTAATGGTTCAGCTTCTTCTTGGATGCTTATAATTATCTGTAGAAATATTTATATATTAAAGAGACACTTTGTTACTTGCGATTTTTTGTTTTTATTTGATTTTCATAAAGGAATACTTATTTTTACTATTAGTTAATATTGCTCGCACCTTTTCCACATGTTTTTCACTCGTCATGTATTTAAAAGCTGCTTCAATCTCCGATTTCGGGAAAATCTTTGCTTGAATTGGTTTGATGGCTCCATTTTTAAGACCATTAGCCACCATGTTAGATAATAAAGCTTTACGCCTGCGATTGCTATTAAAGATATTATCAAGCAAGATGCCATAGAAACTAATACCTTTCTGAAATACGGACATTTCTAATGGATTATTAGAAACCATATTGACCCTGCCAATTTCCAAAAAACGACCGTTTTGCGCCAGACAGGAAATAGATGTGATTAGTTTTTCTTCCGCTAACGAATTTAACACGATGTCAACTCCTCGACCGTGCGTTTGCTGCATTATCATTTGTTCGAAACTCGTGTCTCGAGAATTTCCAATGTGTTCATCGAGAATAGTTGGAAATAATTTTTTAATAAGATCTCGCTTCTTGCGCGTGTCTGCGGTAGTAAATATGTCACATCCTTCATGGAGAGCGAGATGAATCGCTGCTTGTCCAACACTGTCGGTACCTGAATGTATAAGTATTTTATCGCTTTTCTTTATTTTCCCACAAATGTATAAAGCATAGTAAGCCATGCTGTAAACGTATGGGATTGTTGCCGCCTCCTCAAATACCCACGTATCAGGTATTTTCCAACAGAAATCTTTATCCTTATCAACTACATTTGCTATGCAACTAAAAAAATATAATTTTATTTTAATTTCAATTTTTCTGTAATATCACGCAGTATACTTACTTTTTGAAACATTACTTACTCAGTATCACGAAGTCCCATTACGCGTTGCCCGTCGGCATCAAATCCCACATATTCCATTCCAAGAGGAATATGTTGAAATAATCGCCCTTGCATCATAGCGTGATTAGATCCTAATTTACCAGTAACTAACATCAAATCTTTAAAGTTGAGAGATGAATAGATCACACGTATCAAATCTTCACGTCGAGATTCTATGGATCGATTATTCTCTATCCAACGAAATGTACTTAAGTCACCACGAATCTTTAAAAAAACATTATAATGCACATAAAACAATTTTAAATGACATGACAATAAATTTTACAAATTAAGATCACATATGTGTTACATTGATATCTATATTAAAAACGTTTGCACATACTATTTGACAAACATGAGCGGTGGGTACTAATTCTGGTTTTGGCTTTGATAGTCGTAAATGTCTGTAAGATCCCCAGGTCTTATTCGATCGTAATACATTAATAATCATATCTTTTTGTAATTGTTGTATATAAAAGGATTTGTAATGAAACTTAGGCGCTTTTTCATCTTGAATGAGCACACCTCTAACAAGTTCACCACCAGGCTCTTTTTTCAAACAATTGATAAAACCCAACAAACCGCATTCAAAATCTCTTTCTCCTACAATTATAATTCTACTATTGTTTTTAATTTTATTCTCATCGCTCAGAAGTAGTTTTAAATCCTCCAGCCAATTAAAATTATGATTACTTATATAGACCGCAATTGTTTTTTCTATAAAAACTTTTCTTTTCAAAAGTACTATTGTTTCTTTATCAGTGCGTTTTTCTAAAATAACATTTAATTTATATTGCTGTAAATATTCATCAAAATCAATTGAATTGCAATTTTGACGCGTTAAAATATAACCATCTTCTTTCAAAAATGGCAAAACTCGTTTTTCTAAAGTTTGCTGTTTTAACAAAAGATTAAATCCGCAAACTATTAAAACTTTATCATTTATAGATGGTTTTGCTAAATCTCTTATTAAAATATTTGGCGGTAGATTTGCTGGATTGAAGCGATTTGGCGATGTTAATAAATTGATATTTGCTTGTATCAAGGGCATATCAGCAAAAGCTTCAATTAACGATAATAACAAAAGATCTTCTATTACGACATTATCGATATCTTCCACAAGCTCGATGATATTTGCTTTAATGATTTGATGACTGTCAAACGCTAATTGTGCGCATATTCGTATTATTTCGTTTAACGACATCTTAGCATAATCATGATGAGCTACAAATATGTATTCTTCAATAATAGGATCTTGAGTTAATTTTTGACGAAAAATCTGAGTAGTTTTAAAACCTCGAACCTCTATTCCACCAGATATAATCGTGTCTATTTCTTTGTACAATTGTATTGGCAATTCTATAATAAAACAATTAACATAATACAATTTATTATATTAGTAATACAATATAATATTAGTAGTAACTTTTCGCATTTGTTATAAACATAATTATCCTATATAAAATTGATAATCACGTATAAAATTGTTCTTTAAATAATTAAATAATATTTACGTTTATCCTTTTCTGTTGTTATTTCTTGCAGTTTCTTCATGTGAAGTACAGGATTAATTACTAATTTTTGAAAACTTGTCGGAACATACAAGTCTCTCGTATCGTGTCTAATAATCTGCATCTGTAGCATGGTATCCATGAATGTTACCCAATTTTCTGCCCAAGCAACATGCCCTTTATTGCCTAAAATAGACATGCTTTTTAATCCACAAAACAAGCCGCTGTATTGATAACCGCGTAGCTTCAATTCTTTGTAGATATCTGATGTAGTCATATATTCTTCTTCATCATTGTTCTTAGGTAATAAATCTGCCGAGATCATTTCTTGTTCTGGATTCGATGTCTCGTACACTGTACCTGTCATCACAATGCTATCTTCTTCCGTCACTTCGAACTTTCCATCTGTAATATTTTCATATATTCAACCATACACATTTTTAACTTCATGCTATTTCAACATAAATCGTAATACCTTTTTGTATTGCAATTTTTAGACGTATAGTATCATCTTTCGATAATTGAATTGCACGAGTATAGTTTACATCTTGGAATATTATTGGTATATTTGTATATATTTCCCGTTTAATCATGCCTATAGTTTGCCATACAAATGCAAGATAAGATGTCATGGGTAGCAAAATTCTTCCATCAATTATATAATCAGCCATATACTCGTAATTTTCATTGCTGAGAGCAATTTTGATATATCGTTCTCTAGATTTTATGTGTTTCTGTATTCCATAGGTCGGTACAAACCAATCTTCTGTATGATCCCATCTAATATGATATTAAAACGTTTGATTTCGATCATCGAATAATGTCATATAAATCATATCTTCATCATAATTATGATAACATTATATACCTGATCGATGGAGAAATCATAGGTGTTCCTCGGCTAACTGGAAAATGTACTTGCGGATATAAATTGGCAACTTGTGGCTGCAAGCCGCAATTGTAAAGTTTGCCAATTCCTTGTATAATTACATCTGTATTTTGTTTACTGCGTTGTGTTAATATGATATTTGTTATTTCTGGATGCAAAGATTTATTTAAAATGTCCTGCAGAATGCTGTCAGGTGCGATTTCGATAGTTATAGCATTATTTTGAATTAAATGCGTGGCTTGTTCAAAGAGAACAGTATTCATTATGCTATTTGTATGATATTCCGCCGATGATAACTTTGATACTGAAGTGGACCATTTGAAAAGAGGTATGGATGTACTGATCCATTTTGAACTTCGTTTTTTGGCTGTGGTATTATTTCGTTCAACTTAAGCAAAAGCTGAGTTTTCACGGAAGAAATGTAATAACTATGATATGGTATGTTACAACAAATTTCTTTTACGTAAATATTATTATCCTGAAAATGAGAAAAAGTTATTAATATGAATATATAAAATTAAAATATTCGAAACGTTTAAGATAGAAGTTCAATATTTTATTTTATCAATTATCAATCAACCATTTATCAATTATAATAATTAATTATAATTTTACCTGTAATTTTGTTATAAATTCTTGAATGGATTCGGTAGATCCGCTCACAATGTTATTGTATCGATTATTGCGGCATATTATTTGAATATTTGTTGGACACATATTTTTAAGATATTCATAATCAAGAGAAATAATTGCCATAGAGTGACGAATTATTTTTTTGTTGGCACACATCACGCCAATAAAGTATGCTGATAAAATAGTTTGTTCAACGGTGAGGCATTTATCTGCGTACGCGCAACCGAGTTCACCAGCGGAATGACCAATCATGTAATCTGCAGTAATTCCTAAAGATGTTAAGAGGTCCACTAATCCAATCTACAAGTATTTTTAAATATATAATTTTATTATTTATTGTTGTATTAAAAATACCTTTTAGTACTATAAAAAGTAAGGAGAATGTACTCTAAAGAAATTTAAAATGATAGATCCCAATACAATAGAATAAAATGACATAAAAACCTTTATTTTTTTTTATCAGTAAACAATACGTAATTAATATAACGTACAAATATTGAAATATTTTACCTGAACTGCGACGATCCCAACAAATGCATGTAACTCATTTTTGTAAATGTTTTCATCTTCTTTTGTCAAAATATCCGTTATACTTATATCATACGGTTTTAAAATTGTATCGCACGTTTGTATCGCATTTGCAAAGACATGATATTTCAATAAATTTTGACCTATGAACATTTGAATTTAAAAATTATGTTATTTTTTTATTAAAATGTTTTATCATAAATGAAACATTAAATATTAAATATGTACCCATTCCGGACCATTGCGTGCCTAGGGAAGAAAATATAAACCAAACAGGCTGTTTCACTTTCTTCAATTTTTGTATTTCCTGAATTGAATCTTGTTGCAGACCATTTAGTATAGTATATCCTCTCCATAAATGGTCATCTATATTGTCTGCATAGACATCGTGTAATAAACGTATATATTCTACATCTATCGAATGATTACCGATCTACAATCAAAAATATAGAGTTGTCATAAAACTAAAATGTAACATCCTTATTATATTAATTTAGTTTAATTTTAACGTTTCGAACATTTTATATTATAAAGATATAATGTTTATTGATATTAAAATTATTCTTGAACTTTACTTACATCGTTTAAAAACAATTTCACTGATTCTTCCGTTCGTCCAGACAAAATTACAAGTCTTGGCAAATCATCATTTGGTGCTCCATTGTTAATCTTCTGTTTGATGTTCCATTTTAATAACATGTGAGCAATACTTCCTCCGAAGCCAAAAGAATTTATTGCTATATATCCATTCTTAACTGGTGTTGCTTCTGTCACGACTTGGACAGTTCCATTGAATAAAGCATCTATATCTTTTCGTGGTGATGTATAGTGAATATTTGGTGGAATTAAACCGGTTTCGAATGCTATTATTACCTTAAAAAATCAAAAATTATCTTCAAGATGTAAAATAAATAAATAAATTTGAATTAATTGAATAGAAATTAGTTAGTTTTTTGTCATTTTCAGAAATGAAGAAATCTTTTTATTAATAAACTTAGTTTCTTGTGCAACTATTACTGATTTGAATCATAAAAAAATCTTTGATTAAACATATGAATAATAATATTAGATCACTAATTTGTTTGAAAAATTTAGTTTTATATATTTAATAATAAACATAATTTTGAATCATAAGCTAATTATTTCAAAGTTTATCACACTAAACACACTAAACACATTAAATTTTGTATGATAATCGATCACCGTCAATATTATCAATACTATCAATATTCTTTGGCTAATTTGCGAGAAAAAATTTGCGGTGTCTACAAAATATTTTATAATTATGATAATGTGTAAAATAGCGATAGTTACATATTTTAGCTATTTGAACAATACCTTAGCTATTTGAACAATACCGCTAGCAGGTTCAGGATGACCAAGATTAGATTTTACGGAGCCGATCATTAACGAACTTTTTCTGTTTTTGCACAAAACATTATGTATAGCGTTGACTTCCGAAGGATCATTGGCTTTGGTAGCAGTACCATGTGTTTCAATATAATCCAAGCAAGACGTCGATATTTTGCATTCATTGTAAAATTCCTTGTATAAAGTACTAAGCATAAATGTCGATGGAAACAATATTCCTTCTTCCATGTAGCCATTGTTATTTATTTTAATATTTGAACATGTGGCATAAATTCTTTTCGCATTTTTAGCTTTCTGGAGGTATATCACACCTACTGTTTCACTACGAACAAAACCGTTTGCAGCAATATCAAAAGGTCTGCAGTAATCATCGAATGACAAAACACCTAAAATTATACGTAAGTTTGTGTTTGTATGTATATAATTTATTGGTTCATGCTTCAAAAAATTAAAAAGATGATATTGCATTTACAAAAATAATCGATGTGTTTAAATCTAATAAGTATTTTTTTTATCGTAAATATCTTTACTAAAATTATATTAATTTGTTTAAATTGTGCTTGTTTTAATATATAATATATATAATAATATATATAATAAAAATATAATATATATATAATATATATAATAATATATATAAAAATATAAAATATATAATATATATAATAATATATATAATAAAAATATAATAATTCTTTAATTTTTATATACATTATGAGAAAAATTAATTTCAATAGCAATACCAAGACCAGCGATTTGCATATTCAAGAATGGATGTAAGCATAGGTGTGCAGTTCCAATAATTGCATCTTCGCATATGCCCGACATAATGCAATAAAAACCAAGAGCTACAGCATATAAACTAGAACTACAGGACGTATCAACTGTATAAGATGGTCCTTTCAGATCCAAGTAACATGAAATCATATTTGCTGTTGCAAATGTGCTACATCCAACGATATTCACTCCACCTATCTAATTATAAAACGTCAGCGATTATAAATTTTAGCATTCGTATAATACATTTAATAATTATTACACATTAATTTATCAATAATTTTCTCTACCTGAAGATCCTCATAAAGAAATTTTTCTTGTGTTTCAAGTATAGTTATTCCCATAATTACAGCAGTATTCTTTCCTCGCAATTGCTTCGGATTGATTCCCGCATCGATAATTGCTTCGTAAGAACGTTCCAGTAACATTCTTGTCTCAGGTGACAATACATGTGCTTCTTGGGAAGGGAATCCAAAAAAATCCGCATCAAATTTTTTTACATTTTTTATTGTTCCCAAGTACCTTGGTAAGTTCGAATTTTCTAAAAAAATATAATTTTACGTAAAATATTATATAAATCTTTTGAGTTTATTTAAACATTTATAATCCACACAATACAAAGTTAAAAATCTTAACTTTGTATTATATGGATTATAAATGTATCTTAAATACATAAGATGTCTTAAAAATGATTTGTAATTTAATTTTGTACTTTATGTTGTCTAGAATATATTCAGATTTATTAATCACTTATGCTAGTATATCAGAAGTATTTTTAATGTAACAATAAAAATATTAACTTTGTTAGTTTTTTTAATGCATATAAATTAATTACCTATTTTCCAACGATCATGGTCTGGTCTAACAAGATTTACTTTGTTGAATAGATTTTCTCGTAACTGATTCATGTTGTCTGAATCTGGAAATTTCCCAGCGATTCCAGAAATGACGATTTCATCTCCAGAATTAATATCAGACTGTGATCCATATGTTTTTTTGTCATCCATATTTTCAATTATTTTCTTAACTAATTTTAAAAAAAAAGTATTATGTGTATTATATATTAATTTTATTTTTATTTATAATGCTGCGAGCTATAGTATTTGATATATAATGCTTGTAGTATTATTGTAGTATTGTTTAAGTTGTAGATGAGAAATGAGCTGAAGATGAAGTCATTTTAGATTAAATATTTATGCAGGAGAGAGCGTAAAATAGATATACAATATACATTACAATATACTATTTCTTTCTTTCAGTAAACTACGTTCGTTCTATATACTCGAACTTTCACCTATAGGATGATTAGTAGAATTCTAGAATGCTAAATAAATTTGTGTCCAAATGATATTATCGTTAATCTAATGAATTATTTTAACAATACAAAAAAAATACAATTCAATACAAAACAATACAAAATGATATTTCATTTCCCCCTTCTCTTCTCTATGCATAATGTATGTATATGTGATACACAAACATTAAATTGGCTCATTAGATTCAGAGTCACTAGATTGGCATTAAATTCAATCTGTAAAAAACATGAATATGAACAATGAATATTCCGGATTCTTTTTGTGAACGTGAACTGTTCAGTCTTTTTTTATTTATAAAATATTTTGAGAAAACTATTAACTTTATTGGAAAAGACAAGCGACAACTCAGTGACAGACTGCAGAACATGCACAACCGATATTAACTAATCCAATATGCACATACGCTGTATATTATTTAACTGTATTAATATTTATTAAATATTGTGTCATATATGTGAATTGGAAATACGGATTAATATTACACTAATCCTGTGCATTTTTTTTAATAGTAACATGTTTTTCGTATTAATTCGATTTTGTCTTAATTCGATTCAATATGAACATGTTTGAGTTCATCTATTATACTATTACACTAAAAAAAAAATAACACCTATAAAATGACATCTATAAAATAAAATGTGTCTTTTTGAAAAAAAATAAAAAAAGGATATCAAATACACAGACTGGATGTTAGATGAGGATGTTGTAGAACAAAGTTTTTAAAAACTTGAAAAACTTGATATCAAAAAACTGATATCAAAAACTGACGTTAATTTATATCAGTTATCCGTAATCACATCACACTTCTCCCATATGAAGCACAAAATTGATTATTAATCTATACTTATCAAAATGTACATTTTTTAATATTCAATAATGTTTAGTTTAAATTCAATAGAACGCGTTTGTAATTTTCTATTTGTGATTTGACTTTAAGATTTCATTAAGAATCAATTATGCATTAGCAATGCTCCGGATATCCTCTTTGATTATTTAACCTTTTCTAATTTAATAATACCTTATAAAATAATGTAGTAAAAATGTTAATTTTGTTCATGCATATGAAAAAAGTTATGCTGATTTTCAATAAAACGATTTATATATTTTATTATATAAAATAAATGTTTATTAATCCTTTTCTCTAAACATCTTGTATATTCGTGATAACGCATACAAGCTGGTGAAATGTCGTGCTTTATTAGATATACGTGCCAACTTTATATCAATTATGAAACATTTAACGTACATATAGCACACATCACTCAATGCGATTTAAGCACTCAATCAAAAGGCATATGAATTATCAAATAATCCATATACGATATAGTTTCTCGAAAGATTTCATGGATGACAATATCAGTTGTCATGAATTTAAGGTAACCTTTCATCTAAAATTTTTCCGTGCAATTCGATAAAACTGCTTTTTAATTTTAGCAGTTTCTAAAATTAGCAGATCCAGATTTTTCAATTTAAATCAATTTAGCTCGACATATAAATAATTATAAAATATACATACCAAGAAGATGTTCGAATGTTTTGGCTCATTTTTGGCCAATTTTCAACAAATAAATGCTATGTGAGAAGTGAGAACACTATATAGCTAACAATTATAATTTTAAAGTAAACCTCATGTAAGTCTAATGACTAATTTATAAAATGCGTATGATGAATATCATTAAAACTTGCAATTCATTACACTTTCAATTGATGTAAGATCAGCCTTTAAAATTCTGCCAGAAATTTACTAATCGAATAGTAAGTAATCGCAAGAGGATGTATTCAAAGATATTCACCATGACAGTCAATAATATTATAAATGTGATG